TTGGAAGAAGCATGATTTAACAATCATGTTTACATGATTGTTAAGTCATGCTTCTTCCAACTGAGGCGGCTGTCTAAACTGAAGCCCATATTGTCCAAAAAGAACCTGGAGACAGTAATACATGCATTCATTACATCTAGGCTTGATTACTGCAATTCACTCCTGTTTGGTATCAGTCAGACCTCCATTGCACGACTACAACTGGTCCAGAATGCAGCAGCCCCATTTTTAACCAGTACAGGCTAAAGAGAGCACATTACACCAGTTTTGGCCTCACTGCACTGGTTACCGGTTCACCTTAGAATCCAGTTCAAAATACTCATGTATGTCTACAAATCACTGAACAGTTTCGCACCCCCCCATCTCTCTGATCTGCTACAACTGTATGTCCCACCACGCTCCCTGAGGTCAGCGGACCAGTTGCTCCTCACAGTTCCAGGAACTCGTCTTAAGCGCAGAGGTGACAGGACCTTCTCTGTAGCAGGACCAAGACTTTGGAACGAGTTACCTCTGCTTGTCAGACAGGCCCCCTCCCTCTCGGTTTTCAAGTCCCGTTTAAAAACTCACTACTATTCAGTAGCTTTCAACACCAGATGATCTGTGTTTGATCCTGTATGCTCCACACTGGTTTGTCGTCATTATCTGCATCGTTTTTATGTCTATATTCTGATTTACCTCATTTTGTATTTTGCTTTGTGTGTTACCTGTTGTTCTGTCTGTACAGCACTTTGGTTGGCCTTGTAGCTGTTTTAAGTGCTCCATAAATAAAATGGTATGGTATAATTACTCTATTGCATAAGGCTGCAAAAAAGGTTTTATAGCCTATTAAATAACCACCACGAGGGATATAATGATGACTGTTTGATGATGACACAATTGATGGTGTATGTTTTTATGTTTGGTATGCAGAATACCAAACATAAAAAATATATAATTTTATATATCTGATGCAAATTCAGGGGCTCTTGAGCTGCTAAACTTTGTCCATGAAAGTGACCTCTCAGAAATCTATCCAAACTTGTGGACTGCTCTTAGAATTGCAGTTACCATTCCTGTCACAGTGGCTGGAGCAGAAAGAAGCTGTTCAAAGTTAAAAATGATAAAAACATCTGAGGTTAATTATGTCCCAGGAACGCCTCAGTGGTCTGGCAGTCACCAGTATCAACCATGCAGTTGCTGAGCAGATTTCACATGATGACATTATTGATGACTTTGCATCAAGGAAGGCAAGGAGGATCAACATTTAGGTGACAGCATTTCTAATTGTTTTTTTTTTTTTTTTTTTTTTTTTGCTTTTAGTCCATATGCGGTAATTATATCTTATTACTTTATATTTTATGTTGTGTTCTTCTTGTTAAGCACTTTGGTAACAGCTTCTGTTTTAAAAGTCCCAGGTTCGATCCCCAGTCAGTGCATATCACGTGGTGTCTCTGGGCAGCACACCTCATCCCCAAAATGGCCCCCGGGCGCTTTCGATGGCTGCCCACTGCACCACCTGGTGGTGGATGGGTTAAATGCAGAGACTAATTTTGCCATTGTATGGAAACATACAGTGCTGACATTAATATGACTTTATTACATTACATTAAATGTGCTATACAAATAAACTTGACTTGTCAGTTGATGTGCATGTTAAACTCTTGTTGTTCAAAGTACATACAAATAGTACAAAGGTTTGGTACAAGGTTCATTTGTACAGTTTAATCTGTATTTCTTGTTTGAAAATAAATTAAAAGAAGTGTTCTTGTGATGGTGGAGTGACCTTCTGATACAATCTGCCTGTCATGCACCACACAGCAGGCAGGGGGCACAATTTAGCAGCAACCCGACAGCCTGCACGCAAGGGGGGGGGGGGGGGGGGGGTTGCTCGCCCAGGGCGCCAAATAGGCTAGGACCACCACTGTTTACAGGAATCAAATTAACATAAAAATGTCAAAAGCAAAATCCCTGAATTTAGGATCCTTTATTTTTCTGAACAAATTATGAGTTACAAAGGCCTAATAAATAAAAATATTCATTTGAGAATATAATTAGGTTTACTGGAAAAATAAAAAATAAAAGACTAAAGTCCCTAAAAATAAAAACATTTTGAAAGGCCTGCAGAAAGTCTGCAGGTCTTAAAATCATTACAACAATAATAATAACAATAATAATAATAATAATAATAATAATAATAAACAAGTCAGGCTGCTCGGAAGAAAAATCTAAATACAGAAGAGGATTAGGGTCACGGTGCCCAAAAAAAAAAAAAAAAATCCCCTTAATTCTGAGATTAAAGTCAGAATTCATCTATCTAATTCTGACTTTAATCTCAGAATTCAAACAAATATTGCAGCGTGGACCTAATCCTCTTCCATATCTAAAGCAATTAAATGACCAGATTAGGATTTTTAGGACCTGATCCGAACAGAAGCTTCATCTGAAGTTACAACAAGGAGACGCACACAGACACGCCTTTATGCAAAGCACACACCGAGTCAAATCAGGACCACATGCAAATCACACACACACACACGCACACACACACACACACACACACACACACACACACACACACACACAC